ACTTTAAGTAATCCGGAAGAATAGAAAAGCGCTATATAAGAATCAGTACATTAACTGTCTGAACAGAGTTTTATCTTGTTACTTTTACACATGGCCCACATACTGCAAAGAATGACAGCCCTTTGGTGGCCCAGATCAGGTTGGCCAGAGGTAATCCACACATGGGCCAGCACACAACCACCAGTGTGTCTGCAACTGGCCTTGTGCTGGCCCATGTGTAAGCACATTGTGTGGGCCTGATCCGGGCCATACCAATTTTGCTATGTGGGTATGTATGTCACATACACACACACACACACACACACACACACACACACACGTCTAATAGCAGTCACCTTCAAAATAAAAGCAACAAAGTTGCATTGTGATTTCCCCCAACCCACAAATACCCCAGAAATCTCAGTTTTCAGTGACCTAAAATAGTGATAATATGTGGGCAAGAGGCAAAAAGGCTATGTTTTCCAAAATACCTGTGTAGGTGCTGACCTGAAGCTATAACGTTAGCTTTTTGGCTTCTGCCATGTTGGTTTTTGAAGCAGATATTACATTATATGAACAAAAGAACGGACTGCTAATTTATTAGCTAATGCTAGCTAGATTCATAGCAAGCTATATTCATAAACTGTATGAGTGCAATGCAGCTAATCAGTGGTAACAAACAGAAAACACAAACACAAAAAAGTTACTCACCAAAACCGAAGTACGAACCACACAGCAAGCCATAACAGTAGCCAGTCTATTAAAGATAACACAAAAAGGATCCAGTTTAACAACTTGAAGTAGTGGATGAGGCCTAGCAGAAACTGTAGCTGACAGCTATCAGCCAATGCAGACATGTACCTAGTTCAATTATCCAGTTAAGAAAGTCATTTAAAAAAAAAAAAAATCACCCTACTCATAGTTGTTATTAAGGGGGAAATTGTCCATAGACATTCATATTAATGTGTGTTAAGCTTTAAATATGCTTTTTAATGAGATAAGTCGGACATTCTAACATGGGACTCTAACATGGGATAGCTGGTGAGACAGCTTTGACAGGTTTCGACAGCGAAACCTGGTTTCGACAAAGGATGTTGAAGATGGAGCTGCCAGGCCGGAGGATAAGCGCAAGACTTCAGAGAAGGTTAATGGATGTATTGAAGGAGGACATGGAGCAGGTTGATATGACGGAGGAGGATACCAGCGATGAGGTGAGATGGAGGCAGATGATCCACTAATGCCAGCAGGTAGAAGAAGAAATAGAAGATTTATGCAAAGTAGAAAGCATTAGACTAATAAAATGCAATACTTTTCAAAGTAAAAGTATTTTTTTATAATGACTTTATTTCAGGTTTTATAGGAAGTTATTTATTAGTCTTCAGGCATGCACTGAGTAGGCTACTGTATGAAAACCCGTGGTTGTCATATAAGTGAAGTCCTGTTACTAAAAATAACATTTTCTTTGTATTCCAGGGGGTTTAATACGACTTCACTGTGTTAATAATAATCGGTTCAGCAGTTATTTCTAAGTGGGTCAGCCTAGGCTCGTTGGCCACAAGGACACTGCTTAATGGGAAATGAAATCCAAAAATATAAGTTACCTTACATAAAGCGCAAAACAAATATGGCAGATGCACTTCATACCCAGGATTAGTGAGAGGACTGAAGCTCTCGAGGTTTAATTAGGTTGCGAGGTTCATTGGAGGTGAGGTTGGTGAGCAGGATACGCAATAAAACTTCCTCCTCCCTCCTCCTCCT